AGAGAGATGGATCGCCAGCTGTGTCTGACTGGACGGCTGGTTGACCAGGGCACACACAACACACACACACAGACAGACATTTGCTCTCAGATTTCCATCACGAGTCAAATCAAGTCAGTTAAATAATGATATAAAATCCAATCATAATTATCTACTGGTTCCTCTGGTCCGTCTGTTTGCACTGGTTCCACTGGTTCCCCTGGTTCCCCCAGTCCTCCTGGGTCTAGCAGCTCCTCCATGCTGGGACTCAGTTTCCTGGAAACAAAAGTAAATGAAGTGTTTTAGTTTTTCTGACAATAAAAGAAAACCCAGAGTGATGGTGTAACGTCTCTTCTTACATAGAATGTGTATTTCATTTTGAGTTTGAGGCTGTTAAATTATTTAGTCCTGAATGTTATTATAAGTCCAGGAACTTGAGGAAGAACAGTGAAATGTAAAGTCAGGGACATCATAAGACAGAATATACAGTATCAGCAGAAAGCATGAGGGTTATGTTGTGCTGAATTAGGGTACTGACACTTTTTTTGGTCCAATGAGTGTAGATAAATCAATAGATAGATATACTTTATTGATCCCAAGTGGGAAATTGCAGAATGTATTTAGATCTTTAATAATGTGACACATTGTGGATCAGGAGGACCTGCTGGGTTTGTCCTGCAGCTTCTAACAGAGCCGAGTCCTGAACCAGGTTCAACATGGCCCCTGTATAAAACATTACACAGAAAACCAGTCATGTATACAGCATACACACACACACACACACATATATCAACAATGGAGGTACACCGACATACAGTTTACACTATTGTCTGCTAACAATCCCACAGTGCACTGCGTTTTACAGCTACAAGACAACATGATGATTAATAAGAGAGCTGAATGAATGAATGAATGAGTGCCTTAATGAATGCAGTCAGATGAGTTATAGAATCAGGATTGATCAAAGATCAGTAATGTGGGACTGACCCAGGATGATCTGTGTGTTGGAAGCATCGGTCTCTGTGTGCAGAGCTCCAATCAGAACACTGAGGAGGTGGGGCTTCAGGGACAGGAAGCCACCTGCTGTTACATCATCACCATTGAACCTCCCATCTAATAACACCTGGAAACAGACACAGCTGTGTGTTACTAGATATCTTACCTCACCCGTGAGGGCCGACACAGGTGTGTGCAGGTCTTTAATCGGGTGGATAGAAGCTTACCTCTGACTGGATGGAGGGAAACTGCTGAGGGAGGGGCAGCAGGGACGACAGGATGAGGATGGAGGCTTGCCTCAAATCCACTAGACTCACAAAATTCTTAAACCGCAACAGCTCTCTGGGCAAGAGACACAGACAGACAGACGGACAGAGAGATTTACCTGTCGGTCAGGTGACTCTATTGTACTGTAATACTAGTATTCACAGTGACATTTGCAGTACTTGTACCTGTCGAGCAGTACGTTCTCCACAGCTGAGAGGAAGGATGGGAGTAGGAGGTTGACTCCTCTCAGGTCACAGCAGAACAGACAGGTGGAGTTTAGCAGAATGGAGGCCAGAACAGGAGGACACGCCTCCTCCGACACCTGGAGACCCTGCAGGAGAACCAGGTAGAACCTGTAGATCAGACAGAAGAGGGAGAATACAAACAAACTTTTAGATTAAAGGTCCAATGTGTAGGATTTAGGATTTGTGTAAGATTCAAGTACCTGGATAGGTAGACAGGCAGGATGTCCTCTGCAGTTTTCTTACAGGTGAAGATCCTGCAGAGCGTCCCACAGGCCTCAGCTCGACCAGCCGACCACCTGTCTGACATCACAGTGACATCACAGTGACCAGCTGGAGAAGAAACAGTGGCTGCGTTTCATTAGT